TCTCTGCTGCTGACCCAGAGCAGGAGGAGCAGCACCAGGAACAGCTGCCTCAATAGCAGCAGTGACCACATTCTGCTGGGTGACAGGAAGTTGAGCAAACCCCCCTAAAGCTGACACATGAATAGTGCCAGCATTGTCAACACGCTGATGGAAGAACAATTGACCTGGCTTCAAGCAGTCCCAGTGGGACCACTTCTGCCGGTCAGTTGTCTTTCTCTATAAATTGATCAGATTTATATCAAGTCAGAACATAAGGAAAGACTCACCCCAACATTAAAGGAAGCTACTGTGAGACAATGAGCAAGATCCCTCGCTGCAATAAGCCTATTTCTTCCTATAATATTGTGTTAGATCTGAGAATGCAACCAAAAGAACAAGACTCACTTTTTATGCAAACATTCTGACAACACCTCACTTTGGGTGTCCGCTTGCCCATGATCACGACCTTGTTCTGCTGCTGGAAGTGGTTCTTATGCCAGTTACGCCTCACATTACCATGCAGAATTTTCTTGGCCTTGTGGTTGACTTTGGGTGGACGCTGGCGATTTTCAACTGCAGTAGCAGCTTTCGCCTCCGCATTCCACCGCTATCATAGTCTGAGTCAAGTATCAACAAATATGCAGAAGTACCACTTACACGACGCTGGTGAACAGGAACCTCACTGTGCTGCTTGGCCTTAAGCGCAGCATTCTTCTTTGCTGCCATATCAAACACTGCTCGCTTGAGTGCCTTAGTATGAGACTAGACAAGAGGTATGTCAACCAGACAATAGAAATTTAAAATATGACTTACCAATTCATCTGCAGGCTCAGTCGCAGTAACCGCTTTTTTGGCGCGACGGTTAGGCTGCAATACGATGTCCACGTATGGCACAAGTCTCCGCTATACGTGGATACATCAAATAACATAACATAGAAGAAACACGAAGACTCACCTTTCCGAGAACAGGTACAGGTGAGCCCGTAACACTGTTTCTTTCCAAACGCATGACCCCATGTACTGACGCACTACGTAGACCATGGCGCGAGCCAGCAGCAGGATCCAATACAGGAAGTTCAACGGAACTACTCGTAAGTGGCGTCAACGACGATCTCGCGAGCAATGCACCCTCTACACCCGCAGCGTCATCCTCACTCTCGTCATCGACCCACTCCTGTGCGCGCTGCCTGCGCGCGGAACCTACCGGTTCGCGAGAACGCTCCATACCGGTATGTACATCATCGATCATGTTGTCGAGTTCCGTGACGCGCGCCGCCACCTCTGCGCGACGCCGCCTGGCAGCTGCTGACCTTTGCGAAGCACAGCGGTTACGAGATTTTCTTTTTTTGTCGGGTTCGGGGCTCGCGACGGTGTTCGCCACGGGTTCAGGGCTCGCAACTGTGTCTGTCGCGGGTTCGGGGATCGCAACGGCGTCCGGCACAGGTTCGGGGCTCGCAACAGCGTCCGTCACGGGTGCGCGCACCACTGACGGCGGCGCCCGCATACGTGGATGCGGAATCTATGAAGACATGAGAAAAAACAGGTAAGATTGATTAATTATACGTGCCTGATCTGACTGGTCTTCCCTAGCCCTAATGATCGCGCGCTGCGTCATGGATCTCGGCGCAGCGTTGCTCTCGTACAGAGCGCGTCTCCGCGTTGAGCGGTTTCCTCGAACATCTGTGCCGTTGGGCGTGTGGCGTTGTCCTCCGGGCCTCCCGACGGTCTGCGTGACGCTGATGTCAAGGTAAGTCCAGTATCATACGTGAAGTACTCACCATCCAGCCGTCCATTTCCACAATCTCCCCATCATCCATCCCCGCGCTCCCTCGCTCTCTGTCATCCGCGCCAGCTCGCTGAACGTTCGGAGCGCCTGCTGTCGACAGCGCGCGCTCCGGAAGATTGTTGCTGGGTGAGTTCTGCATCTTGCTAACAACTTGTAGTATTTTCAGGTAAGCGTCAACGAAACAGAGAGCAAAGGTGCGTCGCTACTTCGGGATTCATACTCTGACCTTGTTCTAGGGTCCGTCACTCGATTGAGCGGCGGACATCCAATATTATTGACCGAGCGCACTGCGCGCCAACGATCTCTTCAAATGTTGCGTCTGGAAATCACCCCGTCGTCCATCCTCAGGTGCGTGCCATGCTTACATGTCCGGAAGCTGCTCTCACATCTACATTGCGTGGATACATAACTTTTGCAGATGTTCTCATATCTCACCTCGCTATCCCCGTCCGACGATTGAGTTCAAGCCTGACGCTGTAAGTTGCGTCGAGAAGCGGGAGATACGGAGGACGCACAGCGCCCTGCAGCAAGATAAATCAATGCTAATTGTCATATCGGCGAGTGGCATCCTACAGATAGTGCGCCTACTGACGAATACGGCCAACAGTGCGACAGAAGCGACAAGAAAGTCTGCGGCCCTTCCCACCCTTTACTCCCTTAAACGACAGAGGCGCGACTGTGTGGCGAGCCCGCAGCTATGTAAAACCATGCCAAATGCCCATTCGCGCGTGCTTGACGCTCCTCCCTCAGATCTTGGCAAAGCATCCTGTATGCCCATGTCCTGATCTTCAGCCTTGCGCATCAAAGCACAGGCCGTTCTATACCAGACATAGCCCAACACCATCGTCCTTCATACATTCAAGAAGCGCGAGCGAAGGTGCGCAATCTGCTATATCGTTGTGTACGTCCTCGCGACGCGCTACTGCTCTTACTCTACTCATTCGCGTTCAACTTGCTCTGCTTTGATGCTTTCCAGATCCCTCAGGCCGCTCGCAGGTCCGATGTTCTCCAGCAACAGAACCACTCTCAGAAGGTAACGCCATCTTCATCGCCATTGACAGCTCACACTAACGCTCCCGGTCGAATGTCCTCAAGCCTCAATGCTAGAATGCGAAGCACATCCCTTCCTCGTCAGGCCACGCACACCACGACGCTCCCAGTCCGCCGCCCGATGGGCGCAAACGTCTCCCCTGTCCCAAAACGCACCCACCGGCCTCCAATCAGCGAACAGAGCGTGCGTCGCGCATACTGCGCTGTGCAAGAGCAGCGAACATCGGCAATCCGATCATCGACCATCAGCATACAACACTGACGGCATTGCGCACGGCGAATGGTGTGCGCGTCGCTCGTTTCCCGCACGTCGCAGATCTGTACATCACCTGCATCGTGTTTTCGTGAACAGTGCCGAGTTATCTCTAGCCCACCGATACACACCCTGCTTACACTGATGTCGTAGAGCAACTAGCCATTATACATTTGTAGTACTATATAAGCTATTCCGACCAATGTAAATCTACGAATGAGACTGCACATTGTGAGGATGACGCCGGAGCGACGCAGTGCGAGCGTGGACCAGCCGAACACGACGGGCGCGGCCCCAAGGAAGAGGCGGGAATACCTGCATGTTGAGGCCTCTGGTCAGCATTTGCATATAGCATGTGTTATACAAGGCCGGCGCACCCTTTGCATTCGCCGTAAGCCCGCGAACTCGTAGCCCCAGTGAAGCGAGGAACGAGAGCATGACCGCGCCGTAGGTCATCTTGATATTCAGCGCGTGGTCGAGCACCGTGATCGCGACGCCGGGGTCAATTGGGAAGCGAGATCTGTAGCTAGCGCATTAGAACATGTGCAGAGCATGCGAGACGCACACATAGTCGCTGTACCAGCCTGTTGGGTCATGTATATGGTCGCTACTGCCGTCCCGATTTATGGGAGGCCACCCGCGAGACCGAAGGCGATGTACTAGGGAGTGATGGCATACGCCACAGCATTCCTCGCCGCGCCGCGCACGAGGAGTCGTCCTTGAGGCACGTGAGTGGGAGCAAGACTAATCGCGTTGGCTCTCCCGTGAAGGTCAGTCAAGCATGAGCAGTAGGAAACTAATCTCTGAAGACGAACCTCATAAGCGAAGCACCTTGATCGCAACTAGCAACTCGTTCATCGCCGGGGCATTCGCACCTGTGAGGAATTGATAAGAGCATGCTCGAAAGCTCCTCGTACGGAAGGCGACTGAGACGGGGCTCGTTGAAGCCGTGCGCCAGGACCTTTGCCGCGCCGATGCCGCCGCGATTACTACATTGAAGCTGGATGTATCGGCCGTACCATGGGGCGTCCGCGTGTACCAGCGTCTTGACGTTGTCGAGAAGCGGCGTGAGGCTCGTTCTGCAAGCCTGTGCTCCGTCCTTGGGTGAGCCGAGAGCTAGGGTGCCGGGGGGGGGTGGGGATCAGTAGCCTAGATGTTAGAAGTGGTGCTGCTCACCTATCCTGCATGTCGGGCGCGTACCTTTCCGACTTGGCGTTCCTTGTGCGTAAACGGACGCCCTCCCTTGTCCAATCTACCGCGCGCGCATTCCTTCCCACCCCCCTCTCCGTACGCCGTCCCCGCGCCCTCCGGTCTCGTCTCTTCTCGGAACGTTTGAGGGATTGCGCGCGGGGGTCCTTCCTGTGGAGAGATGAGAGGTGGTGGCGCTAAGAGCGCACTCACTGTTTATGTACGTTACCGAGGGAGTAAACAGCAGCTATACTCTTGTAGACTAGCCTGAGAAGAGGACGAGTGAATAAAATACAATGAAGTTCCGAATAGAGATAGAGCGCTATAGATGGAAGTCGGGAGAGGCGCCGGCCGCGATAGAGTCGCGATAGAGTCGATAGGGTGAAGCCAGTCGATAAGAAATATATTGAAGTCGAGTTAGAAAGAGATGTACATAGAAGGAAACGCGGGCGTACTTTACAGGTCAATTTAGTCTAGCTGGTTGAACGTGCTGCGGCATGATTAAGGTCGGTCTGTGCGAGTCGTTAGTTCGAATCCCGGGCATGTATCAGGGTTGTTGGCTCCGCGGAGCTTAATGCTCCGCACCTAGATAACGAACAAATGTTCTTGGCTGTATTCGAAGAGAGATCACAACTCCATGAGGTCTTGAGGTACAGTTCGGAGCGCAGTTTGCTTGCACCGTTACATCTGTTTCCTTTTTTTATCTTTATTTCTCTTTTCTTTTTGGCTCTGGCGCCCGCTCGCGCTCCCGTCTCCGCGTCTAAGTTGCTCGCGCGCTCGTCTTCGCGTCTAACTCTCCCGCCCACCCGCTCGTCTTCGCGCCGAACTCTTTCGCCCGCCCGGCCGCCTCTCTTTTCTGTCTTGCAACGACGCGTCCACTGTCCTCTTCTGCCTTCTCAACTCGTCCCTGAACAACGCCTCTTCAACTCCAGCTGTAAGGTCAGCTCTCTTCTCTGTCTTCCCGTCTACCATCGTCTTTCCTTGTCTGTCAGCCCGATCCCACTCGCAGGCGCCGCGCGCGGTACTCTGGCGGCACGTCAGCGAGGGCAACACTAGTCGCGGCGCCACGAGAGCGGGTTGCGGCCTACGACGGAAGCGCGCGCGCGCGACGGTTGGGTGGGTGAGTCTCCGCGATGGTTTGCTGTCACCACAATCGACACTGCTGCGATAGGCGTCGCGAATGGGCATGCACTCCCGCACGTCAACCCATTCGCACGTCTTTGTTGCCACCATCGGGCGCCCCAGCAGCTTCTTCTGAATACAAGCAAAGGCCACGAACGGGCACGGGCATGCTATATCGCTCTTCATCTTCTCTACCATTGATGGCGCGTGCTAGCATGATTCGCATGCAGAGATACTCTCGCCTCCGGGGCGCCGAAAACTTGAACGCGCAAGAAGGGATCGCACTCTGATCACTGTCTACGAACAGTTGGCGCGGAAGTACGGCTCTGTCTTCTGCATCCCGGCGATCCTGGGCTACTCGCGTC